AAGCAACTTTTAGTTTTTCATTTATCAATGACAGTATTATTACCAGACATTTCATTTTATTCTCTCTCTCTCTCTCTCTCTCTCTCTCTCTCTCTTTGCTTATTTATGACTTCGGGGAAACTGTACTTTTATTGAGTGATGGGATGCTTTGAACTGCCAGGGGAGTTGATCCATCTGCCACAGCACCAGAAATTAAGAAGGCTTATCGAAAAGCTGCACTCAATATCACCCCGACAAGGTTTTGGTTAAAATTTTTGCTTCTGAATGACTGCCTCTACATTCATTGCATTTAGACAAATAAATAGCTAAATCGATTTATAAATTTGCTATTGAAACAGGCTGGTCAATCCTTGCCTAGAAATGAAAATGGAGATGATGGGCTTTGGAAAGAAATAGCAGCAGAAGTACATAAAGATGCAGACAGGCTCCATTATGTGTTTCCCAGGCCTGCAATGCAAATTTATGTTGAACTTTTTAAATTTGCTCATTTAATTACTTTATTTTTTAGATGACGTACTGGCTTGAAGGGAACGTAACCGACCCAAAATTTATTGGTAATAAGACTTTAGTCTTTTTTGTATTTGTTAGATGTTGTGAGCAGTGAGGTTCGTGTTAAAGCTATAAAACTTTTGTTTCATATGATGGTACAGTGCCAAAAAATGGACATAATTTTTCTGACAAGACTTCTCGGAGTGCTTAATTTTGCAATCCCCCCCAATTCAGAGACAAGTTGGTGTTTCCAGTCAAATATGATGATTTGATGTGATGAATAACGTTCATATTTTTCATTTTAGTGGATCAATAATAGGAATCAAATGGGGGCTCATTGTTTATTTGAGCATTAAGGATTGTAGAGTTTTGGTGCACCTTTCTAGAAGCACTAGAAAATCATTGACATGAGGTTTTTCATCAGATTTTCTTTTGACTTGTAGTCGGACAATTAATCCTATTTGTAAATGTAGGTACAATGAACTGGCCTGTAGAGTCTGTCATGTTGTCATTAAATCCAAATCTCTTTAGCCTGTAAACCAAGCTTTTTGAGAAAATCACAAGGTAACACTTCAATTATGCAATGCAAAAATGCTTGAATTAGTTTTCTTGGCGTGAATTTGAATTAGAGATGAAATCACAACTAACCTAACAGGGCAGTCCTCAAGCTGCACTGTTTTATGGAATTAAGTTTCTGTTTTGTAGTAACAATAATATTAATGAGCATTCATAAAAGAACGACTAACGATCAACGACCATCTTTCTTCACGCCTCGAGTTTCTTCTTCGTATCTTGGCCCAACGAAACAATTAAAATATTTATGGTATCAAATATTTTGTCTTATATTAGCAAGTTTATATTGTTTGTTGGAATCTAATTTCTTCTTAGTATAAAAGTACCAAAAAAGCTTAGGTAGCACTCTCGAATACATGTTATTCCACTCGATTGATTCAAGAGTTTGTTTAGAGTTATTTATTTATTTTTTTAATTAATGTTCCATTCTTTTATCTTTCCCTTAGGTTGATTAGTTGTGATGCTTCTCGTAAGTTGAACAAGCTCGATGTGTACGTAAGTTTCGTGCTCACTTCATTTTTGTTCTAATTATGCATGATGACTTTGATTCTTTATTCAAATAAATGCTTCAGGCTGGTTAGCACCTGGAATGAAATTAGCTTTGACGATTCTTGTTAAATTGATGTTCTTGACTACGTTGTTTACAGCGAAAATAAAATTGTATTTTCTCTTTTAGGATTTACATTTCTATGACAGTTAGAATAGTATATCAATAAAATATAAATTGATAATCATTCAGAATAATTGTCAATTTTAACCAACTTATAAGTACTTACATTTACGAATGAATTCTTCTAGATTTTACGACTACTTATTTTTAACATTTCCCAACTAACGTGCGACGCACGTTTATCTCACTATTATTATTTATTAATGTATAAATGTTAGCTACAAATTTCTTGCGATATATATCTATGAATTGGACTCCGTGGCAAATCTGTTGCTGATGTATTTTGAGAAAATAAAAAAAGAATAAATAGTAAAATTAGAATAAAATTGAAACTAATAGTTATGTCACTATTTGAATAGTGGGTGATCTTTATTTAATGCATGTTCGGTAGTGATTATGAGAAATGATTTTTTTACTGTTGATAGAAAAGTGAGTCTCACCTGTAAATGAAGAAGTCAAAAATGATAGTTGACTTAGAGAAGTAACGGTTAACAAAATTGATTTTTTTGGGTGCAAAATCAGAACCAGGGGTTTAATTTTATATTACATCTGATTATTAAAATAACAAGGCTTTTTAAGTATTAAAATGGACATTCCATTTTCACGCACTTGACAATTCAAGTTATATACGTTTTTGAAGAAAAATTAAATGAGAGCGTCGATTGTTTGTTTGCATGTAAATAAAGGAATGAGGATGCAAATTTTCATTTTAAAAATTAATTATATATTAATTTTTAAAAGGAAAATGGCACGATTTTAACTTCTTTTTTTTTTTTTTTTTTTTTTTTTTTTTTTTTGCTTTTTAAGTATTAAAATGGACATTCCATTTTCACGCACTTGACAATTCAAGTTATATACGTTTTTGAAGAAAAATTAAATGAGAGCGTCGATTGTTTGTTTGCATGTAAATAAAGGAATGAGGATGCAAATTTTCATTTTAAAAATTAATTATATATTAATTTTTAAAAGGAAAATGGCACGATTTTAACTTCTTTTTTTTTTTTTTTTATTCCACATAAAAATTTTCTTTTTCAGTTTTTACCACATGCGACCCATCAATTTCTTTTATTAAGAGAATGCATGGTTAAAAATGACTTTAAAAAAAATGAATTTTAAAAAATTTGTACCAATCAAGGGCTTGATGTTGTTATGTTATCAACAAGTGATCAAACCATAAAACACGAAACGGACAGATTGAAAATAAAATTCATTATTTTGTGCTTATTAATAAACCATTTAAAGTTTTTATTTTACTTTTGATAATAAAAAAAATTCAAATGGTGAAATAGTTTAATTAATATTTTAAGCTTCTTGTATATATATAGAAATAGCGGTTCAACCAATAACTCCATCTGATAACTAATTAGTGAGATCAATATTGGAATCATATTTAGTCCTTGTTTGATAGCCATTATTTGAGAAAACAATTAATGTTTTGAATCGTAATTTTTACGAGAATGCGTAGTAAAGAAGTAAGGAAAAATTTTGAATTTACGTACACAATATTTTATTGTGGACAAAATAATTTTTAAATAATAATTATCAAACATGCTCTTTGTCACGCGATTTATGCAACGTGATTTTTAAACCACAAGTGTACGGTGTCAAGTTTTGTAACATAGTAAAGAAGTTAGGATTTCGAACCCACAATGATTGATATTCAAATGAATTGAGTACTATAATTATTTTAGCTTTTCCTTTATTTAGACAATCAAATTTTGAGTCAATGTTTTTATGCTAAATTAAAATTAAATAAGATGAACGATGCAAGTAAACGAGGGCAAATTATGAAGTTTCTTATCAAATTATGAATGCCTAGGGAATGATTTCACTATACATTCGACAATATTTTTCAACCGTATAACTATTTCTATCAATCTTTCCAAAATTTATAGGCAAGAACGTTAAAGTGATTCTATTTCCCTCTCTCGAGCGCCAAATAAAATCTATTTTTATATATTAATTCCAATATCTCTATTTCGAATTAAAAATATAAAAATTATCAAGCACGTGGTTCTTAATTAAAACAAGCCTCAAGATTTGTACTTTCTCTCGAAACCTACGGAATTTAGGTTATGTTGTCTTAGATCACGCCTAAATTTGCCTCCCTCAAACACCAAAATTTAGAACATCAAATCAGTCAATTAGTGGCCAGTTAATTGAAAGCATTGCGCATAAACAACATAAATAAATAAAAAGGAAAGATCAATTGAAATAATTATAACGGAATCCAAACATGTCTCAAGTAGGCTACATCATCCCTAGAATAATTGTTTAGTTCATAATTGAGAAAATTGACATGAATAGATTAATAAGAAAGAACGTAGAGAAGAAAATGAATAGAAAACCTCGTTTTTGCATTTCTTCTTCCATTGTTGTCAAATTCTCTCAATTAATTTCCTCTTCTTTAATTGTATTGACCAGCCATGGATTTGTCTCCAGATTTTTGCAATTGGCCGGCTAAACTCCTCTTTTCAACCACATGTTCTTGCCGGCTGCTTCCAGTTTTCCTTGCTCGTTTTCCCCCCTTAATTAGGTCTTATAGGTAGTATTTATAGTCTCCTCAAGTGTTGGACGATTTTGGATTAGAATGGGCCGAGAAAGAAATTCAAAAATATCAAAATACGTTTACCCGCATAGGCGGCACCACGGAGCTGTCCTTACTGTCAAATTCAGATTCATTGGCACCACGGCGCCTGATTCGGGTAGAAAATTCCTTCTGCGCGTTCTTCAGTATTTTTAGCATAACTTTCT